TGGGCACCAGGAGACGCCGCGCCCTCCGGGATCTCGGGGACCTCCTGTCCATAACCTGGAAAAGGGAGATTTCCAAGGGCCCTGACTGTCCGGGGCACCCTCCACATTCCCTGCCCCTGGCGTAAAGCCTCGATTCACGGTGTCCTCTCAGCCGCACGGGTTATCACCCTGAGAGGAGCCCATGTCACAGAATACCTGCGTCCGAAAAGCTGCCTTCAAAAGTCCATCCGTCTCAGAGGATGGTCAACATCAGCAGCGACAGACGATGTTGATGATGGGGACCCACGTCACCTCTGTGCTCTGCCCCCACCCGTCACCCCGACATCCCAGCAGGAGGAAAACGCCAGACAAGCCAAACCCAGGGCCATGCTGGGAGCCACCTGCCCAGCCCCCTCCACACTGTCACAGTCAGCAAAAAGCAAGCAAGTCTGAGAAACCGCCTCCGGCCAGAGGAGCCTCAGGAGGCGAGACAACTATATATACAGTGGGGTCCTGAGACAAAAAAAGGTAAAAACACTGAATAAAGGGGTGACCTTTAATAATAACTCCATATTGGTTCATGAATTCTAACAAACGTACCATATTAACGTAAGCTGTTAAAACACAGGGGAAATTGTGCAGGGTTTGTGGGAACCCTTTTGTATTCTCTTTGTGATTTTTCTCCCCGCAAATCTGAAACTGCATCTAAAACGTAAAGTTCATTATAATGTAAAAACAAGTCCGTAAATGCCCGTCTCAGGGCAATTCCCTGGCTGCGACAAAGCCCATGGAGTCAGCATGCAGGGGGTGGCGGTAAGCAGAAGGGGAGCGGCCAGAGACCTTGGCCCAGAGGCACAGAACAAACACTGAAGAGCTTTCCCAAAGGAGGGTCTCAGAATCCAGCCCCACCACAAGGGGCTGGGGCTCTGTCCCCTGAGATTCCCATCAAGGCGGATCCTGACGGGGAACACTCTGGGCCTATTTAGTCCTGGCGTCCCCGTCTCATCCCCTTCCAAACCGGCACGGCCTGGGGGTTGGAGGCTCTCTGCGGCCTTTCTGTTCCGGGGCTGTGCTCAGGCTGCTCAGATTCAAAAGATTTATCATCTCTATCGGAGAGGAGTTGGCCTGAGGATGTCCCGTCTCCCTGGGGACAGTGAAACGCAAAGCTGGGGGCAGATCTGCAATGTCCTCGGCAACTCCTGAGGTTGTCCCTGCAGTTATGCCCAAGCTTCTGGAATGTTCTAGGGGAAATCAGCTGCATCCTAGTAGAAAACTCTCCCTCCTCCCGGTTCTGACTGCAGGTTTCATAGGAGACCTCGCCCCCTGTGTAGACCAGGCCTCAATGAACAGTGCATGGATCTTTCTTCAAACTGCAGGGCCCTGACAAAGGGCCACCTACTCTAGTGACAATGAGGTTACAACCAACTATCCCAGAAACATTCTGCATCCTGGGGTGCCGGGTGACCCCCAGAAACTTCCCAAATTGACTCTGTGGCCCTAAAAGCCACTCAAATGCTTAGGATCGAAACAAGAATGTTCCACCTGGTTTTCCGCCCGCTGGGGGGCTGGTTCGCCTGACACCACGTGTGAATGTTAATGCAAAGAAAATAATATTTAAATGAAAGGGGGAAAAAAGATCGTTTTGTATTAAAATATTTTATATTAATCATTCAAACTTAATTTTATACAACGAATGCATACATCGCCCAGATGTCTGTCTCGGAAGGGAGGTCAGGGCGGCGTGAGGGTGGGTGCGCCCGGGTGGGAGATGAAAGGCAAGGAGTCACCGCGCTTCCCCCACTCATCCTGTGCTCCAGGCAGAGTGAGAACCGGCGCTATCACCCGACAGGGACGTCACTGCGGAGAGCAGCATCTACGGCAGCAGCCCCTGTCCGGGCCTCCCTGCTGGGCGAGCCCCCAGAGCCTGAGGCCCTGTGACCAGCGAGTCCTTGACGTAACAGTGGCTGTGACATGTCACAAGGTGAACGGGGACCACTGTGAGCGCGCACGCACGTGTGTGCGTGTGTGTGTCCATGTGCGTGTGTGCACGTGTGCGTGCGGGTGCGTGTGTGCATGTGTGTGGGTACGTGTACGTGTGGGTGCGTGTGCATGCGTGTGGGTGCGTGTGCATGTGGGTACGTGTGCGTGCATTCGTGCGTGTATGTGCGTGTGTGTACGTGTGCATGTGCGTGCACAGACAGGCTGGAGTGTTCTCTGGTGGGACCGCCCCGGGCCGGGTGCCTAGGCGGCGGGCATGTCGGCCTTGCTGAGCGCGATGGCCAGCTCCAGGTCCTCCTGCTCCTGCCGCCGCAGCCGCGCTAGCCTCTCCTGCTCGGCCTTCTCGCTCTCCCGCTTGGCCCAGGCCATCTGCTGCTCCTCATTGCCAAACTGCAAAGGAAAATGGAGGTTGGGTTACTTGGCCCAGGAGCTGCGACCTGCTGCTTGGGGTGGGGGGGCCGGGGCACGAGGACACCCGTCACGTGCTGTCGGGGTGCAGGGAAATGCAATGCTGGGATGCGCTGGGTGGGGGGGGGTGTGCTGCCTGGTATGCACGTGAAAACCAGAAAACGCCAGGAGCCCATGTCTTGGTCGGGAGCGGGCAGGGAACACGCGCTCCCCAGTCCCGACCCACAGTCACATGCACCAAGAAACAGGGCTGAGTCTGACCCCAGCTACCACCTCGGACCTCAGAGAAACTAGCCGGCCTTCTCGCTCTCCCGCACGTCCCCAGCTAGGAGTCTCTGAGGCTTCGAGGGGGTGTGAGGGAGGGGCCCCCGCCCCGCCTCCTCTCAGGGCGCGACACCGATCTCTGCTCCACAGCAGCCCTCAGCTGCGCCGACGGGCTCGAATAGCAAACCTACAAGGCCTGGGCCTCGATGACAGGCCGACGACACCAGCGGGTGGGAGGCGCTGGGACTGGAGAGTTCTGGCACATGCACGGCGCTGCGTTTCAAATGCACGCAGACGAAACGGTCTTGCAATGTGGCATCGCTACCCCAGCCACGGCCCGGGGAGCTCTGGGCCCACTAGGAGCCACTTCGTACTTGAGCATTTATAGGAGCCCTGGCATTTACGCTGCCGATCCGTCCAGGAGCTCTTGACGTCCTTTTCCAAAAGGTCCAATAAAAAAAACCACTTTTTTAAACAAAGGAGGAAACTTTTAAACAAGATGGGTGGTTTCAAACCATCCAAGGCACCTTAGCTCTACAGAGAGCACAGCAAAGCTAGATCTCACATGCTCTTCCCCAGGTGTGGGTCTCTGGTTCTCCCACGGGCCTGAGTCACATGTCCCTCCACCCCTCCACGCCCCCTCCCCCGAGCAAAGCTGCGGCCTGTCCATGGGCTCGGGTCCCTTCGTGTCTCTCTTCTCGGCCGCAGCTCTGCCGGCTCTCTGCTAAGCACAGGAGGACACCAAAGAAAGAGGCAGGCCGGCCCTCTGAAAGGCGCCCCTTGGGAGCAGACATACAGACAATCCCGATCTGACACAGGCTTCGTGGAGGCCCGAACAGACCCCACTGGGAGCACCGGGGAAGGAAGCACGACAGAAATTCACGGCTACTTCGGCACACATGTACTGAGCCTGAGCGACAACCTGGGGGGTGAGCTCCTCTGACAGGTGGGGATGCGGAGGCCTGGGGACAGGGGGGAGGTGGCTGCAGAGCCTGGGCCCTCAACATGCTGGACCTTCTCTCTGGGTCTGGGTCTGGGTGGAGGGGGGCGGGGGCAGCCAGCTACAGCTGCAGAGTTGGGGCAACAGGGCACCTTCGGAGTGAGGCGCTGGGTGGGGGGCGCCGAGCACCCAAGCCTGGTGCTGCCAGAACAGAGCACGGGGTGGGAGGGGCTGCCAGGGGCTTGTGTGCAGGTGTGGTGGGGGTGGGGGCCGTGGAGGGAGCCACATGTGGCCTGGAGAAGGAGGTGGGGCAGGAGAGGAGGCCTCCCTCCACCGGGCCTTGGGGGGTCAGGTAGGGACAGGTACGGACAGGGTCAGCATGAAGAAGAGCCATCCCCAGGAAGAAAGGCTGAGTCCTAGTTTCTTAGAGAAACTACCCAGAAAAATGTTCAGGGCCTGATGGGTCTCCAGGTAGGACTCCCTGGAGTCTGGTCCCCACCCCTCCTGTTTCCATCACAGAGAGCCTCCACCCCCGCAATCTCTGGGGAATTTTCCAACACCTCATCAGGAGAAAAACAAGGAAAAAACCACAATTAGTGGCAGAAACGGCTTCCCAGTGCTGCTGACAGGGATCTCGCCCTCTGTCAGCCCAGAGGAGGGGAAGGTGGGGGCTGACAAGTAATGGCCAGGCTGACCCGGCCACGGCCTAGAAGCCAGGCCAGGAGGGGTCAAGTATCAGTGGAGGCCACAGGGCCGCACCATGATTCCCGCCCAGCCCCAGAGTCTCGAGATGTCCCTGCAGAGCCTCCTGCTCAAGGGGTCCCCATTTTCAAATGAAATGTGCTGACAGGAACATTCCAGATGCCTTCAGAGCAGACTGGGTTGAGGCCAGCTTCTGGATCCCGTCTGGGGTTTGTGCGCACTTGAGAAGCAGGCTGGACCGTGGTGTCTGAGAGAGAGGACCTGGAGGAGGAGGGTTGCTTGAGGGTCCCTCTGGGCCTCCAACCAGCAGAAGAGCCTCTCCTGGCCCCGGTGGAGACTCCTCGACTAGGTCACTCTGGTCCTCCGACCCGCATGCATCGTGACGGCCAGAACCTGGGGCGCCTGTGGGTGCAGCCGCCACTCCAGGAGCGGCAGGTGACTCCTGCTTCACCCCTGCGCCGTCCTGGAGCTGAGACAGCGGGGCACAGAATGCCACCACCCGAGGCATCTCCCGGGCACGGGGCGGACGCCAAGCGGTTTTCCTTCAGCAGCCTCTCGGCAGAAATCCGGGGTTCAGATGGCTGCACACACGAAGGGTGCGCACCCGGGGCCACTGCTCACCGGGGCTGAGGCGTCCGACAGCACCCGCCCTGCCCCGCACGGGCCGCCTGCAGCCGCCTCCCGCTGGCTCACTCCCGCTGCTGTCAGGGTCACATCCAACTGGTCCGACGACCCCCGGCGCGGCACATCCCATCTGAGTCGCTCTGCTCTTAGTGCAGACTTGCAGAAAAAAGAGCCGTTTTGCTACCCTATAAAGGCTACTTCCTAATAAACACATTTGCCTGAGACAGAAAGTCTTGTTTTTAAACAAATCTCGGAGACGTTTCCTGTGAACGGCTACAAGCACAAGTAACCCATTGATGGAAACTCGGGGCTCGTCAGTGAGAGGCTTCCAGAGGGGCAGAGCCGGGGCGCCTGCCCACGCGTGTGCCATCAGCCTCCCTGAAGTCCAGCGCGGCTGACAGCATGTCCTGGTGGCACTCGAGAACCGTCCGCGCTGAAGGAGCCACGCCGTCAGTCCGCTGGGCAGTAAGAGACCTCCCAGCATGTACCTCGGGGAAACGGAAATACACGGCCCGGAGGGCCCAACTCCCGCCTGTCCTGAGTTAGCACAAACCTCCGAGGTCCCGCGAACCAGAAACCCCTGGCCAACGGACTGGGTCCCCGGATGTCACAAAAATGCAAAGGCATCCTAAGTGCCCTGAGGTGGGACAGGCTGGCCATTTGGGGACTATGGTATGACCAAAGGGGACAAACCACGCCAGTCAGGTGTCGTGCCTCTCCCGTACTCCACGCGCTCAGAGAGGCCAAAGCCCGCTGTCGGATGTTTCCTCTGGAAAAACTGGGGCATCTGAAGCGGGAAAAGTGATTTTAAACAAAGAACAAATGGGGCAGAACTTGATCCCCCACGGGGAAACAAGGATGATTCAATACTGGGGGTGTTTCTGGAATGACCAGAAATATTGGGCCAAACGATAGCTTAACACCTCAGCGTTTTTTGTTGTTTTTTTTAATATTCTCCCCCAACCAGCCACTGGGTGCGGGGTGGGGCACAGAAACAGAATCATGCATTTCAGAAAGAGAACAGTCATTTCTCCAAATTCCCAATCACATCTACTTACCCCTCTTCCCTACCCAAAACAGAGTACCTGATTCCTGCATGAATAGCTCTCTTTTTCTCGACACTGGATATTTTTTTTTCCACCAAAACACAAACGCAGTACTATTCAAGAAATGGTAGATAAAGCGGGTTTTGTTTTTGGCTTTTATTAATACCGTCGCCGTTTGGATACATCCACGGCGTGCACCGGCTATCAACAAAATCGAGCTAACTGTAGTTGTAAAACATTTACAGGTCGCCCAGAGCCGGGACCGCGCTGGCGTCTTGGGTGACGGCAGGGAAGCTGCAGGACAGCCGTGCACGAGGTGGATCTGAAGCAAATTGGGCGCTCACCGGGCACCGACAGGGCAGAGCTGGTTTTAAGACCGATATTCTAGGAGTCAGGGCGTCTATTAAACAATGCATCTCGCACCGAACCAGGAAACAAAGTACCCTGCAAATTCGAATGTAAAAACAGTGCGCCACAGACGGTGAAACCAATTCTGGGAAGACAACAACTGAAGCTCTCTGAGAACAAGGTTCTTGGTACCGAGGAAGGTGCTGGAAATACCCCCACGTGACAGCACTTGGCAATCCGGAATCTTTTTTGCACACCGAGAAACAACGGCCAGGCTTTCCAGATCCCAGGATTAGCTTCTGAAAAGGCACTTCACCACTTTGCTAAATGGCTCCGCGAGGGTTTGGGTTTGGGTTTGGTTTTGGTTTTGGTTTGGCAAGGGGAAAGGCCTTCAGAGCAGTTGTTCTAGGCTGGATTTCTTCCCGTCGTAGCTGGGAACTGAAGTAAGTTCTAAAAGACCAAACTGCTCTTCCTCTGCGTGCCCTGCCTGGGTTCTTCAATCCTTACTTGCTGCTCAAAATGCCCTGGGGTGGGACCGTCACAACTCTTGCACAAAGACCCTTTTGGGGACAGTGAAACCCTAATGGGACTTTTGCGATCTCGTGTGCATACTTCGGAAGCGTTTGACATCTCAGCTTCCAAAAATCCATGAACACCACGGCCTCCGGGCCACAGAAACAATAGAGTCTACCAGGAAGGACAGAAACGGGCACATCCGGCCGCCCTGCTGGAAGAAAGCATGGCCTGATCACAGAGTATCCAAACTGCAGCTCTTTTTCTTTTTTTATTGAGAAATTGTTTTTCTTACAGAAAGCAGCAGTACAGAATAAATAACACAAGGGATAGCATAGAGGTACCAGGAGACAGAAGCCAGGTGTGCCGTTTCAAAGAGACAAAAAAGAACCCCAAAGAAGCTGCAAGCGGAGGGTGGAGGGGTGGCGCACAGGGAACTCAACTTACAGAGGTGAAGTCTGCAAAGCCCAAGGAAGAGGCTTTAGAAGGTTTAGCTGAAGAGGAGGGAGCAAATGGATCTTTTCCACTAAACGGGTCCCCAAACCCCTTTTTATTTTGGAACGGGTCACTGCTGTCAGCCCCAAGTGGCTGGAATGGATCGGGGGGCTCGGGAAAGTCTGCAGAACCAAGCTGGCTTACAGGTGTACTTTTACCTGGAAAGTTCAGGAGAAAAAAAAAGGGGGGGGGGGGAGAAAAAGAAAAAAAGAAAAAGAAATACAAGTTACTGACCACAGACAGAACAGAGTGCTGACTAAGGAGGCCGGCGAGCGCTCTCGGGGACACCCTCTCCTTCTTTGGAAAGGGCCGGAATGCCGCCTGCTGGTGGGACAGATCCCAGGGGAATCCTGGATGGATCTTGCTTTATTCTCACCTTATCCCGGAGGCTTCACAGGTTTGTGGGCGATACAAGAAAACCACTTCAGACAAGCCCCTCCCTGCCCCACCCCACACAGCTAAAACGTACTGTCTTTACCAAGTTTACACGGAGACATGTTTCAAAGTGACTCATTTTAGTGGCAACACATTTACTATCACACTGAGTTAAAAAAAAAAAAGTCATGGCTGAGCAGAAAAATACACTGCAAGCTTCTAACAATAAAAAAATGGGGGGAGTAGTATCTGCGATTAAAAGGGGGGGATTAGTGGTTGTGAGGGTCTGGCCTCTGCTGTCCTGAGGTTTTACATCGGTTCTTAGCTCCCACTTCTGCCCTTCGGTGCTGGTGGCTCCAAGGGGCAGGGTTTGGGCCTTTCTAGGCTCTTGCTGAGAGAGTGGCTCTGAGATGCCTGGGTCCTAGCAAGGCCAATCTCAACCGGATGTGTGTGGGATACACATGTTCAGAATCAGAGGGAACCTGGCCATGAGACCATGCTTGGGGCTGCGGCCTGAGGGCAGGTGGCTTCTCCTGACAAGTCCTGCCAATGTGCTGGAATGTTCCACGAGGAATCAGGGGCCTCTCCAGGCCTGCCTAGCAACACTTGATGAGTCTTCAGGGTCTGCCAGTTTTGTAGGCCAGGTTCCTGCCTGACGCCACTCATTTGCCCATTGGAGCACCAGGAGTGAGATGTTCAATTTAGTCCAAGCAGCTTTGTGTCCAAGCCCCAGGTTAGAGACTAGAGGATACTTAACATAATTCCAGTCTGTCAGTCCAGCTGCTTATGTTTACTCTTGCAATTTCAAAGCTGATGTGCACCAAGAACCCACAAGCCAAGGGCCACATTCCACACACAACCCTGGACATTTAGCTGCACATCCAGAAAACGCCCCCAGCCCCGAGCGGCACCTCCGGCGCCCCCATGCGGCACCTGAGCCTGGGACACCTGCCCTCCTCACCCAGCCAGCCTCTGCCACCCCACCCGCTAGCTAGAGAGAGGACCCGCCTGTCCATCTCCACGCCTAGCTCTTAGAAGCATCCTCTCTGATGCCATGCTTCTACGGGCCCCCAGCTGTCCCTAAGAGCTCTGGGGCCACAGCCTGCCTCTGCTTCTTTCAGCTCCAAGACCTCAACAAGGACAAGTCCCTCAGCCCCAGCTGGCCTCAGTTGCCTGTGTGTGAAGTGGGAACGAAGAGGCAGGGGCCAGATGAGGTGGCTGATGCACGCACAGACCCACGGGGCAGCACGCTCTGCGCCCCACCCCGAGGCTGCCCTGGCATCCCACATCACAGTGGGTGCTGCCTTCTCCGTCACACCGCCTGCCCCGGGCAGTTCCAGCAGGACTCGCACGGACCGAGGGGGGAGGGGCAGGCTGGAGCAGAGGTCTGTCTCTCCCTGGGACCTCAAATTGATTCCCAGGCAGGCGTGGGGCCCAATGGTGGGTGGACCCTATGAGCTAGAAGGGTCCCCCCATGGAAAGCCTTTGCCGAAGCCCCCGGATGTGCCCCACTGACCCGGGTCACAGGACTGTTCCCCAGAAGGGTAGCGCCGAGTCCACCATGCAACAGGAATTAGGACTTCTCTCTCCCACAGCAACTGACTTGTCAAAGTGAAGGCCTGGGGGGTACCCCCCCCACTTTCTGTACTGGTCGAGTCTCTAGCGCGGGTACCTCCTCCCCTATCCATGACAGAGCCCAGACCTCCTGCAAGCTGTCCGTCCAGCACCAAATGCTCCTCCCCACGCCATCCTCCCTGATGTTAGCTCTCCCACCTCCTCCTTGTCCTGGACTTTAGCGCAGCTCCGCCCCACCCCACCCCCCCCCCCCCCTCCCCTGGTGCAGAGAGCAGGGTGCTCTGGGAGCCCGCCACAGCTTGTCTGGCTTGTTCCACTGGCCCTGAAGACCTGCCCCGCCTCACGGCCACCATGCACAGCCAGCCTACTCCCTGGCCAGAGGGATGCGCCAACAGATGAATCAAGGCCTCCCTGGCCCCCAGAACTGTGGGGAGAGGAGACAGCTGTCAGGCGAGGCCAGCCCAGCAGCTTGCAAACTCCAGGCTGTCCACCTAAGAACAATGGGGGGCCAGGCATACCCCAGAGGCACCCCAAGCAGGAAGAGTGGGCATGGGGCCAGGGTGCTCCAGTCCACATGCCTCACACCACCTCGAGACACCGTATTTCTCTCTGCAGTCACTGTCCCGAGCAAGCGGCCCTCATCTCTCCTGGGTCCCTGGGAACAGGCTTCCCACAACAGCCACTCTCCCTCTCGGCTTCCTGCCCCACAGGCCACCCCCACCCAGCAAAGTGGCTTTTTAACAAAGAGCTGATCCCCACGCTGCTTAGATCTCCCAAAGGCTCCAGGCTACCCTAGGAATACCCACCAACCTCCTCCACCCACCCCCTGCGCCCGCACCCGGCCGCCTTCTGCCCTGCCCAGCTCAGGCCTTTGCGCCTGCTCTCAGGCTTAGGGGGCCCTTCCTCTGTGGGTGCCACACACTCAGAGGCCGCCCCTCCCCACTTCTGGCTGAGATTCCTCCCTATCTGCTGCTCTGCAGCCCGTTTGACATTGTGTCCTTAGGTCACATGTGTATTTTTACTCTCACTAGAATGTAAGCTCTGTGAGGCTGGGGCCCCGCTGTCCACGGCTGTGTCCCCGTCCCCCCCACCCCCACCCGCCTAGCACAGGGCCCAAAGCTTAAACTCCCTGCTGAACGAAGCTTTCCAAGCTCTCCCACGCCCAGCCCTGCCTCAGGCCCATGCTTCCCCCATCTCGTGGTGCCTCCCAAAGGCCCCGCAACCCACGCCAAACTTCCCAACTTCACCCCTCGCCAGCCCTCCAGGGCCCAAGTGGTACCTCCTTCCCTGGGAAACCCCCCAAATCAGGGTTTCTTTCTGGCTGGTTCTTCTGCCCAGGATGCACTCCTGTCTCCCTGGCACCTGTGTTCAACTCTTCCAGCCCAGCCCCGGGGCAGGCCAGATCCACCCCTGGAAAACCGGGAGCAGCACAGCAACCCCCACCCCCACCTTGTTCTCAGATTCAGTTTCCTAATCCATGACAAGGGGTTGCTACGGGTTGAACTGCATCCCCCACAAATTCATGATGTTGTCTTCACGCCCAGCACCTCAGAAGTTGACTGTGTCTGGATATGGGGTCTTTGAAATGGCAGCTGAGGTAAAATGATGTCCTGTGGCTAGGCCCTAGCCCAGTAAGACCGGTGATTTTATAAGAGGAGGAGGCTAGGACACAGACACGCACAGAGAGAGGATGTGAAGACACAAAGAGATGGCCCACCACCAGCCAAGGACAGAGGCCCCGGAAGGAAGCAGCTCCGCTAACACCCCGATCTTGCACCTCCAGCCCCCAGAGCCGTTGAGACAAGGATACGCTTCTATTGTTTACACCGCCCAGCCTGGGGTCCCGCTCGGCAGCCCGGGGTCCTGCTCGGCAGCCCGAGCTCGCTCGCACAGGGTCAGGAGAAGGCCACCCTGCGTAGCTACCAGGGCAGTCACCGAGAGGAGGGGCCGACCCACAACGGGGCTGCTCGTTCTCGTGAATGCCCGTGAGCTGGGCCAACTCACTCGTGTGCCCTCTGTGGCGGCTTTCGTGCCACGACAGCAGAGCTGAGCCGGGAACACGTAAGGCCTGCGGGGGCACAAAGAGCGACTCTGGCCTTTCCCAGAAACCCCTCACATACCCGTGCCATGGAGTGGGCGCTCAGCTCAGACACCCGCCAGGCGGTGAGCACATCACATTCTACTGCCCGGTGACCAGGCCCCTCTGGGAGACTGAAGGACGCGCCAGGCCCCAGGGAGGAGCCCCTGGGCCCCACAAGGAAACTGAGGACCCCTGACTGCAGCTCTCTGCTCTGACAGAGCCACTCAGAAGCCCTGTGAGCGGCACAGTGGCACTTACAGCCTCCGGACGAGTGTGCCTTCCCCCTGGACTGCTTTGCAGGCACCTGCCCATCCCACCTCCTCAAACCCCCCTCTGTACCCTCCCTCCCCACGGTGGAGCAGCACCACGTGCCAGATGCCACCCCCAAGAGAAGAGGCACAGCCCAGGAGAGGCCCCCCGTGGAGTGTACCAGGAGGCCAGCTCCACCTCGCCTTCCATACCCCACGTGGTGGCACCATCCAAGGCCTGATCGCAGGTAGACACACGTGCTCCCAAGTGAAGCCCGCTCCGGGGGGCTCCTGGAGCACCCACAGCCTTTCCGGGGCCTGGGAAGACTGGCCCTCATCTGCACACTTAGCCAGCATGTGCAAGGACCCTCAAGGCCATAGGCAGGGGTGCCGTGGGGGACAGCATCCTGAGGGTTGGGGACACAGGCTCGGTTGCATGGG